GGGGGGTATGATTATGTTCATATCCTCAGTAGAATTGTAAATGGGCTGATTTATCAATGTCATGCTCATACTGTGCCGGAAAAACTTCTGCTTTTTCTGCCCTCATCCTTACTATCGTCATTTTTTCTCTACTTCTTTTGTATGTTTGTCACTCTCTCGTAACCCGCTATTTCCGGGGTGCCTTGATAGTCGAAGCAGACTTTGTGCTGTTGAAGCTAGAGAGGTGAGCAGAGTAAGCCTGATTCCCCGTTCGAACTTGTAACATCCACCCCTTGGCGCTCATATGCAGTTGCGAGCGCCATAAAAACCTGATTCGAACCCGGGACCTGTTGGATAATAGGCGAACGTCTTAACCTCAAGGCCACGAGAGCCCCCGACAAGGTGTTAGAAAATGCCTGCCCTTTTGTATAGAGGGTGATAGCTAGTAAGCTAGGCCAGTGAGAACACTTTGAAAAAGGATCACTATGTGGGTGTGTGGCATGGTATGTTATGTTTAGTTTTAGTAAGGTTTTTATGGCGCTCGCAACTGCATATGAGGTCATACAATTTTAGAGCAAAACGTTTTGCTCTAAAATTGTCTCCTTTCCTTTCCAACTCTCTAACAATATTCTGTCGTCTGCTTTCGTCTCCACTTTCTTCCCCCACCCTCTCACCACCTTTGCCCCCTCCTCTAGGCTCATGGCTGTTTCTGCAGTCTTTTTATTGCTGCTCCTTCTTACTGCTGTCTTTCAGCCACACCCCTGATATTCTGGTAGTAAAAATCTAAACCTAGCCCTCCCAACAAGTGCAAGGGCGAAAAATCTCGTAGGTCCCGTGTGCAAGTAGCGCACGTTAAAGATCCCTTCGCGGTCCAAAATCGATTAGAGTAGGTTTCGGTCGCCACTCGGGCAGAATTCAATATTTCCTACCAACTGAAAATGTTTAATGTGTCCCGCTCGCTCATATGACCTTATGCAGTTGCGTGCGCTATAAAACACTTACCGAAAAAAAAATTAATATAAAAAAATGAAATATAACACTTTGCCAACCTTATGTTTGCCCTACTCCTTATGTTAGCTCTTTATAAAGTCTAATGAAATTCTCTGGGTAAAGTGACACTGAGCGACTACAGTACATGTACAAAGGCTCAATGCAAAGGTGGGTGTTAATGGTAAAGGTGTTTTGTTTGGTTTTGTTCTTTATTTGGTTCTTGTTTTTTTGGTTGCCTTTTGGGTTGGGTTTTTTTTGCTGTTGTTTTGTTTTTGTTTTTGCTTTGTGTGTGTGTGTGTGTGTGTGTGTGTGTGTGTGT